TTTATTATAAAGTCTGCCACAATAGCAGCATTTATGTAAATAAGTGCTGCTATTGTGGCAATTTTAGACTTTAGTAGAAATTCGGTTCCGGAAATGTTGCTTCACCTGCAACTTTTACTCTTTCATTCCCCTCTTCTTCCCCCTCCCCCCTGCCTGACTTTTTCTCCGCGATTTCCACCAAGTCTTCTGCACATCAAGGATGCAATTGTTTAAAACTCACAATCACACTTTTCAACAATTTGCATACATATCAATGCTAGAGGGAGGAGGGGGCGAGGGTGGGGGAAGGCTGAGCCCCTTAAATGTAAGTGAATTACTCTTAAATCTTTCAAATTAGTAATACCCATGAATGTTACCAACCTTCTATTTTGCATGCGGCGCAAGGTGCTATACCCCTACCGCTAAAATGATACTTGCCGAGAGCTCTCGAGAGTTCTCTATTACGGAAATAACGAACAAAATAATAAATAAAAGAACAATGCAAAGCCAAAAGGGCTAACTTTGAATACAAAAGTTATACGCGCAAATTTAAGACACTGCTTCTATCGATTACTTCATATTGTAATCTCCTCTGAAGAGCGATTTATTTTAGATGAACCTTCTACTAACATTGCTAATTCTTGCCTATCTGCAAGTCTGTTCCGGTTGTGCGGCTACCTCTCCCGGAACTTCAATTCCCAGAACAACCACCGCATCTCCGGGAGCAGTAACCACTATTCCCATCACGACAACAGTGGCAATAACAACAACAACAACAACAACCACAGCGGCACCACTAAGTAAGCAAAATATTCCTCCAGGTTTTAAATGTACTAGGTGGAATTTGTGCTTTCAGCAGCCTGCCAAACGTGCACAGTTAATCAAGTCTCATTTGATAAGGCCAATGGTGATCCTATGAGCATTGATTCAAGCTTTAGGCAAGTTGAACTTTCATATTCGGAATTTGAAAAAATAACGAGGTTTCACGATTTTCAGGGTAGAGGCTCCCGATCCTGCAACTGGTTGTTTGCGACTTACCGCTATCTGCGCAGCTCAAGCTGGATTCTTTGGCTTCATGGAGTTCAACATAAACGAGGGTGGTCCTCTAGAAAATCAGGATGTCGTTCAGGTTAGTCATAGCATTCCCTCTTAAAAACTACAAATAGCTGACCAAATAAAGGTTCTCTCATTATTTGGAATAAAGTATGGAATAAATGTGCATGGCACAGTGGAGCATTCAGCTATTCTAAGTTTTTACGCGCATAAGTGAGAGAAGTAAGTGCACTCTGAATTATTCTCGGACAATACGAATCCAGACATCTCTACAAATCTTTTTCACCCTTATGACAAAAGTAAACAGTAGAAGCTCACTCTTATTGAATCATTTGAATTTTGTTTCAAACCTTGAATATTTTCTACAACTACAATTCACTTATAATCGAAATTGTTCTAGGTCGTTGAAGCACTACTGGAATGCAGGGATGGAGCGTGGTTCTATCGTGATGTTCCTAGACAAGTAAACTCCGTTCAATGCATACAGGCACCACCTTAGCTGG